TTTTGAACATGAAAATACTTCCAATTCTAGAAATAAAATTACCATTGCAGGAAGGTTCTGTGGGAAAAGAGCATGGAGACTTTCAGTTATTAGTTCATGGAGACCTTGGCACCACACCTTCTGACTCCAAAGGGCATATTGACCTAGTACTGAAATTAGTGTGTCTTGAGGCCTGTGTTCTGGAAACTCTGAAAACCCTGTTCACCTTATTCCTCTAATAAAACTTTTCACATAAATGAATTTGCAAAGTAATTTGTTGTTCACCAAAAGATGTCCTCCTGGAATTTGGGTGTCATCAAAGCAAATTGCCAGGACCCCCCAAAACAAGATAGAGAGCATCTGGGAAAGGGACATCTGTGCCCCATTGCTATCCTTCATCCTACTAGTGTGGCTTGAAACAAGGAAGGTGACTTGAGACCTTGTATTGTCTAAAACAGAGATGTTACATTGAAGAGCTCCCAGTATGAGAAGTCTTGCTCCGTTTGCCTCCCTCTTCAAGTTGTCTTTCTAGAAGTCTCAAAGACAAATTAGACCTGACTTCAGATCAGTCATCATGAATCTATAGCAGGAAAAGGCTCAGCTTACCCAGCGTCCATCTTGGCCTTGAGGCCCAGGCTGGAATGGGAATGTTCTGCCATCTTGGGAGGGCCACTGGTCCCACTAGTAAAGTAGATGGCGGCTGGTTCATGACTTCCAGTTTCCACACAGTGATGAGTGGTAGATACATCCCTACAAGGACCAGAAAGTCAATGTCTCAGATCTAGCCTAGATAATGATGGTTTGTGATTCGTCTTCCCTCAATAGCCCTCGAAGTGACAAGGGTAAGTCAGATGACCTGTCTCTGAAGGGGAGGTCTTGAGTGGCAAACTTCATGCATTCTTGAGTGAGTCAGGATTAGCATTTTGTTAACTATGTAAATTTGTACTCGTTACTGTTACTTAAATTCTGTGAGTCTCACTTTCCATATCTGTGAAATGAGGGCAACATAACCTTATCTCAGAGAGTTCAGTGAGAAAGTTAACTCTACAACAAAGAAGGAGTGAACATACTTAGCCAGGACTGAACATTAATTCAGTTGTGGTTGGCCCCAGCATTATAGCAAGAGCACAGAAGGAGAGCAGTTAGTTTTCCAAGTGATCAAAAATAATTATTGATTTTTTTATGTGTATGAGTGTTTTGTCTGCATGTATGTATATGCACAGCATACGTATGTTTCCTGTGGAGGTCAGACAAGGGCACTGGATCTCCTGGAACTAGAGTTATTGACAGTTGTAAGTTGCCATGTAGATGCTGGGAATCAAACCCAGGTCCTCTGGAAGAGCAGCCACTCTCTCCAGCACCCCACATGGTTTCTTGATACCCACTTTTATTCTCTGAAATACCCCATAAGTCTCTAAGTACCTTGAATCTGAATCTCTCAAAGCTGGCATTTTATTGTTTATTTTTATGAAAATTATTTTAAAGATCATGACAATAGAAAGGAAAAAAAATCCTTACATTCTCGCTAGATGTTTCCTAAGGCACATGTTTCTAAATGGAAGGATTTTAGACCTGTGGCAAGAATCCCACTTATCTGGCCAGTCTTGCTATGAAATTCTGGAAGGACTACTATTCTGGAAAGAATATCCTACAGATATAGAATAAGGGAAGAAGAGTCTGGAAATCAGTGCACTAGGCATCTCTAAGATGTTGCCTAGCATTTCATCTATGGCTGTGGTAAATAGTTGTGGATGCCTTTCAGCCCCATTCAGATCAGTAGCATGTTGTTCTAGTGTGTGCAAGTGATTGATCTTAATGTCAAGGTGTGTGTGTGTGTGTGTGTGTGTGTGTGTGTGTGTGTGTATGTATGTATGTAATCACTTATATGTGCTTATATAATGTGTCTGTTGTTCTGTGTGTGTGTGTGTGTGTGTGTGTGTGTGTGTGTGTGTGTGTTGTGTATGTGTTATATTCATGTGAGTATGTGCTAAGCACACCCCTGTACGTAAACATTCAAAGGCCAAAGCAGGGTGTTAGGTGTCTCCCTTTCCTGCTTTCCGTGATAATTTCTGCAGACAAGTTTTCTCAATGAACCAGAATCTTAGCTTTTGGGCAGGGCTGGCCTGTGAAATCTTGGGATCTGCTTGTCTTTACCACCTAATGCCAGAGTTATAGGCATGTGCAGCCATGCTGGCATTTTACACAGGTGCTGGGGATTCGAACTCAGGTCCCCGTACTTTTACAGCAAGTGCTGTTACCCACTGAGCCATATTCTCAGCATCTCGGTCTCGCAGGCTTTTTCTTTTTCATGCTACCATGGCATAGGAATCTGGGCCTACAAGTGTAAAAAGTGTGTGGTAGATAATGCCCCTTACAACCATCAATAAATGAAGTATTTGTCAGTCCATTCTTTAATCCTGGGGGCATTCTATGCGCTTCTCATAAGGTTTCTGCATACCTGGCCACACCCACCTTTTGAATGAGTCCCTATTAACCCTTGTATTTGCTTTTCTTTCTTCACTGTCTCATTTTCCTTTGTCTTGGTTTCCTCTTCTGGTGAAAACCCGGCTAAGGCAGGAGATACTCACTTTAGCAATGTCTTGAAGTTTAGCCATCCTTCTCTCCTGTTTTCAGACACCAGCAACTTGATTTTCAGAAAAGAGCAGTCAGGGGCCACAGCATCCACTTCCTGAGCCACTTCGTCCCCAGCCACAATGGCCCTGGCCTTGGATGACTGCAGCCTGTAGAGTATGTCTGTAGATTTCATCTGGATGGTTCCAGGCATGAAAACAAGGCCTGCAGAAGACAAATGGCTTAAAGAGAGCTAGGAAGTGAATTATCTTCTTCCCCAGAGAAGGGCTTTGAATAGCCATGGGACCAACAGGGAAGGGCAGGTGGGATGTGAGGACCAATAAATAGGAAGTAAGGGGGTTGCCTTCTATGGGGGTTTTTTAAGGAGGGGAAACTGCTGTTGTCTGCCTTTCATTTCCTTTACAAGAGAGAGAGTGTCCAGCCTGTGTGGATAGTTACTAACCAGTCCGAATGCATCCCAGGGTCACCAGCCACCACTCTGGGACTTGGCCAAGTACTACTGCCACACGGTCCCCACGCTGCAGGCCACAGGCTCCCGAGAGGACATTAGCTGCTCGTTGGCTGATTTCACTCAGTTCTCTGAAGTTCCACTTTAATTCTTCCCCACTGCCATTCATCCACCATAGGGCTGGACGTGGAGGTCTTTTGCCAGCCTGAAAAAAAGAGATGGCCTGGTTATCAGAAGACCCATGGAGACACAGCAGATAAAACTAGTTGGAAGTCTAACGGTAGGCTTGTTGATTTGAGGATATCCACACACTACTAAAAAGTGTTGAAAACCCTCAAAAATTTGTTTTAAATGAGGGTTATATCTATCAATGTTGTAGTAAAACAGAGACTTTAATATGCATGCTTTAAAAATATAACAGTTAAAATACATTCTATATTACCATGATAGTGATTTTGATTGCTAGCTGGAATGACTCGAGGATGTTTAAGAGATGAGCAAAGTGCATCTCTGAGTTGTGTGTGTCTCCAGAGATGACTGGATGGTGTGGGCTCTGATACAATCATTGGATTAATAGCTTGATGGATTCATAATATGCCATTGGGAGATGGTTAAAAGCAAGAAGTGGGTTCTGGGTAGAGGAAGAGAGTTGGAAGACGTCCTTGGGGTTGGATCTTTCCCAGAACCTCTTCACTGTCATAAGTTTCATTATTTTCCCCTTAAATATTATTAGTTTCCATTTTGCTGGTTTATTTAACTATTTCTTTCATGAATTCCAAATCAAGAACTGTAGCAGTAAGACTTTTCCTCAGTATTCCAAGGAGGAATAACTAAGAAAAAAAATCAAGAAGCTAGCTGAGGAGACCACTGAATCAGTAAAGTGCTGGCCATGGAAACTTTAGGACCTGAGTTCAATCCCCAGAACATATGTTAATCAAAAGCCAGTCATGGTAACACATACTTGTAATTCATGCACTGGGGAGGTGGAGTCAGGCAGATCCCTGAGGCTTCCTGCCCAGTCAGTCTAATGTACTTGATGAGCTTCTGGTCAGTGAAAAACTCTGTCTCAAAAACTAAAGTGATGGAGCTGAGGAAGGGCACCTGAGGTTGACCTCTGGCCTCCATTTGAACTAGCACATACAAACACGTGTGTACATGTTTAAAAATGTACATGCAGGTGCATAAGGACAGGCATATAACAGATAACCTTTTGTTGTTGTTCATCATCACCCTTGTCAAACAGTTCCTTATGTTTAAAAATGTACATGCAGGTGCATAAGGACAGGCATATAAAAGATAACCTTTTGTTGTTGTTCATCATCACCCTTGTCAAACAGTTCCTTACTCTGGATTGAAACACTCTTTTGTAGATGGACAGGCAAGGCTCAGGGGCTCAGGAAACTAACAATACAACGATGAAGATGCACAAGGCATGTGAATCTTCTAGAAGCCAGTCCAGGTGTTAATATAAGCAGTAAACAGTTGTTGGTGCTCAGCTGCCTGCAAGTTGCTCAAGGAGCATCAGTGATACATGCTGCGGGCTTCTCACTGACACACATATCTTTGAATTGCTCCTGCTTCTGCAACTCCTTGCCCACACCCCATAACCATCCCTTATAGGTTCATTGTTTCACCTGTCTTGACTTACATCACATCAGCTCTTTGGTCTGTCATTACACTCTTTGTCTGGGATGAACAGCAATAGTTTCCCAGGTAGAGTCACACAACAACCTTACACCTTGTTCCATCTTCAGGATGAAGAATGATGTAATCTCCATACTGAGGTTGTGTCATAGTGCCAAGACCTCAGAACAACATTGTCACAACTCACCATTGTCATAGCTATGTATTGTCGCAGAACATCATTTTCACAGCTCCCTTTGCATAGTCCTGTTTGTTGCTCCTATTGGTTAACTCTAGCCTTTCTCCTGCCTTAGTCCCAATGATCTGGTTCATCCTCTAGAAAAGAACATCATTTTCCCAGCTCCCTTTGCATAGTCCTGTTTGGTGCTCCTATTGGTTAGGTCTAGCCTTTCTCCTGCCTTAGTCCCAATGATCTGGTTCATCCTCTAGAAATGCATTTATGGTGAAGGCAGTGGTGTCTGGTAGCAAAAGAAACTCAAAGATGGACAAGAAACTTGAAAGTTTCTGCCTCCTCTCCCTATCCATCTCTTGTGGAAGCCTTTTTATACTCTGCTGAGTGGGCATCTTACCTGCACACTTCAGTGGCAGAGACATGTGACCTAGCTTTCTGGGAAGACTGGCTCAATCTTGAATTGTTGATTGCCTCCTATGATCTGTGTTAATCAGACTGGCCATCGGCATGATAAACACGTATTAGCTCCTGGGTTCAGAGGCTTTGATCAACATTCCTTGGATCCATTGACTGTAAGCATGTGGTGAGGTAGAGCATCATGACAGTAGGAGTGGGTGACAGAGACTACTCACTTTGTGACAGATAGGAAGCTAAGAGAGAAGCAGAGACCACGGACTAGGCAAAGCCCTTGAGTTACATTCCCAGTGAACTATTTCCTCTAGTCCCACCATTTAAAGCCTCCATCACCTCCCAAAACATTGTCAGCAACTGGAGTTCAGTTGCTTAAACTGAGTCTAGGGGGTACTACATGCTTAGTCCTGTAACAAGTTCACCCATCCCAGCTATGCCCCAGCTCACGGCTCTTTATTTCATGCTGGAGAGTCACAATAGACAGTGGGTTTGGGGTTACTAGATACTTCACCATGTCTCATATGCCTCTGACCTTCTTTTTAAAAAATATTTGTAGTAGCATGTATTAATTACACACAATCGTAAGTTTTATTACATTTTCATACATGTGCACAATGCATTTCAATCATATTCACCTTCCTATCATCCTATCATCCTTGTCTGCCCCCCACCTCCCTTTCCCACTTCTCTTGATATCCTTCTTCCAACTGGTTTCTCTTCTACTTTTGTGGTGTGTGTGTGTGTGTGTGGGGGTGTGTGTGTGTGTGGTCTGGTGTGTGTTGTGTTTACCAGGGTTACTTATAGGAACATGGGAGAAGGTTTGTTTATAGAAGCATGGGTACCTTACTAGTGGCTATATTACTGAACAATATGTCTCTCTGTTCCTCATTAACCTTTAACTGCATATACAGCCTCTGGGAGAAATGGGGCCCAATGAGCTCCTCCCTACTCCATGAAATCTAGTACAGGTAATTATGAGTTGCTGTGAGTTCAAGAGAGCAATGCACATTTCATGCCCAGAAATTACAATCCACACCCCCACCTCTTATGTTCTTTCTGTTCTTTCTTCCATAATATTTCCTGAACCTCTTAGGGGATGATAGAAATGTCCTATTTATGGAGCATTCAACAATCTCCAATTCTCAGCACACTGACCATCTGTGAGCCTCTGGTCACAGCTTATCACAGTTGTCACTGACAACTGCATATCATGCTTTTCTGACAGAACCCCAGAGCTCTCTGATTTTCTTTCTCCCAAGTCACCCTGTGCTGAATAAGGAGGATGAACACCCTGCTCACAGCTCCTTATGGTGTCTGAGACCTAATAAGCATCTCATAAAGCTCTACGGAATGAACTGATAAATGAATGAGGTCAATCAAACCATGCCATTCTCTCTCCCATTACCTTTTCCATGTTGGCCCAGTGATCTATCACATCATTAGCGAAGTTGAACTTGGCAGGTATTTCCTGGTGGCCCCACTGTATGGACAATAGTTTCTTGATATTAATATGGAATGTACGGATGGACATCTCAGTACCCCAGAGGGTACAATATCTTGGAATTTTCCCCAGCCAAAGCATGGTCAGAGCTGTGAAGGAAGGAGGAGATGTAGGTGAACTCTTCCCTGCTAGATTGTGATACTCAGCATCAGCCAGTGGAGAGTTGTTTCCATCCTCCAGGCTTGATTGGTTGTGTTTGTGAGTATATTGAATGGACACGGAGTGCCCGGTTCAGTCTCCTTCTATATGCCATTCTCCTAAAGCAGCTCCCTCCAGGTCCTGCAGAAATTCTTTGGATATCCAATGATTCAGACTTTAGCTTAAAGTATGAGGGAATTGTTTTGTGACTCTCATTATACATCTGTTTTCTTCCTGTAGAAGGATTATATCACCCCATTCATTGCCATGTGACTTCTTGGTGCAGTGTACAGGAAGAGACCATATTCCCCTCTTGTTTACTTTGGCTTGCTAGTGAGATAGGTTATGGTTAATATGATGGCTATGGGTTGATCAGATTTTCATTTCCACCCCAACCCCGTGTGGGTGTATGTGTGCATTGTATGCATGTGTGTACACAGATGTATACATGAACATACCTGTGAGCATGTGCAGAGGCCAGAGGAAGACACCGAGTAACCTTCCCCATGTCTTATTCCCCTGTGATAGGGTATCTAATTGGATCTAGAACCTGCCTTTTCTCAGGTAGTCTTGATGGCTAGGGAGCCCCAGTGATCCTTTTGTCTCTGCTCCCCTAGCTAGCTCTGGGCTCCCACAGACACACACACACACACACACACACACACACACACACACACCTTTTTTTTTTTTTTTCATGTATGCTGGGCTTCTGAACTCAGGGTCTCAGGCTATTGCTGAAAGTGCTTTGACCCACTGTGCCATCTCCATAGTACCATTTCTTGGGCTTTCCAGAACTACATATCTCATATGAGTACTATGAGGGTCCTAGAATGATGACATAAGGAACTCAGCTAAGCCCAACCTGTCCACTTCCAACCTTCAGTTATTTTTCAACTAAGTTTTGTAGACACATCTTAGACCTATATTTAGTAGGAAACATATATATTTGAAAGCTATCAAATGCTTGGGATTCTTGCCAATACACCAACTGTTGACTAATATACTAATTTTTTGGAATTAGTTTTGATTGACATATTTTAAAAACTATGCATGTACAGTGCAGTATCTAACACACACAGCAACTTACAGAATTATAGCTCCTGTGATTATTGTTTTCAGCTTTATTAGTTCCAGGGAAAGATGTTCCAAGGCTATACACTGGTGTTTGAATTCTGTCATGTGCTCTTGCATGACACTGCAGAATTTCAAGCCTAACGACCTTTGATTTAGAGAATCCAGCCAGCAATCTGTCCCCTTGGCTGGATTCCCAGCCCCCTTTGTCTAGGCAGAGGGCATTAGGATTCTCATCTATGGCACTTACATGTTTTCTCCTACTTTCTCAAAGAAGGGGTGAGAATTTCCTTCCCAGACCTGGCCAGCAATACCTAGTGCTTTCATGGTTGCTGGTATTTCCCTTTGGGTGGTTGACTTCTCCTTATCTTCTGGCCTTACCTCTTCAAATAAGCATGTACTCCTTCACCCCCAGCTATCTCTCAGCTTCTGTCTATGCTGCTACCCAGCTCTCCAGTCCTCCACTTTTGGTTGGCTAAAGCCCCGAATTAATACCCTTTGACATTCCATTTGTGGCTTTAAGATGTCTTCCATTGGGAGTTTTCATCTCCTTGATAGCTGTTACTCCTCATGATCAGTGAGTGTCATCATGATGCATGCCTCCCACTTTGGTCTCTTGCATGAACACTTACCTGACAAGCCTCTTCTGGAACTCTGTCTGGAGGTAGCTTGGTCTACTTCCCTCTTGGGAAGTAATACCAGAGCTCCTGCAGCCCTGGAGGAGAGAACCGCACTGAAGCAGATGGTTCCCAGATCCAATCCAAGTAGCCTGTGAGGGCTCAGCTAATCATTAATGGTGCATAACTCTGGGGCAATGCTACTCCTCCTAGTCAAGTTTATGTGTAGCAGTCTTTGAGTCTGTGGAGAGGGCTCACTTGGACCTGGTGGTTAATGCAAGGGATCAAAATGATTGACAGCAAGCCTTTTCTCCAACCAAGGAAGAGAATGGAGTTTCAGATGCTCTATACACTGTCTTACTGTCTTTAATCCTCTCATTTGTTTGGCTTCCACCAAGGGTCGCTTTTCTTGTTCTGTCTGTGACACTTGATCAATTTAGTGTCACAGCTTGGATCTAGGGCTCTTGCCAATGACCCCATTAGTCACTTGATTTAGTGTCACAGCTTGGATCTAGGGCTCTTGCCAATGACCCCATTAGTGTATCTCTTGGCTGGATCTCTCTCCTGGGTATTCATCTGTTTGATGTCTCTACTTGGATATATCTAATGTGTTTTTAAGAGTAGATTCAGAAAGTGACAAGTATTCTATCTCTAAACCATCCACTGCATCTGTGGCCTTTACCAGAAGATGGTCATCCTATTGTTCCCACTCTCCCTGTATGAAATCTCAGACTTCCAACTCTTTATGCCTAGATCTGGTGAATCTATTAGTCCTGTCTTCCAGCTGTGACTGCCATCTATCTCACTCTCTTCAGTGTTCCAAATCACCATTTTCTATCTGTTTTAGAGTTACCATCACTGTGATGAAACACCATGACCAAATGCAAGTTGAGGAAGAAAGGGTTTATTTGACTTACACTTCCACATTGTGGTCCATCATTGAAGAAAGCATGACAGGAACTTGCTGTGGAATAATCCTCTTGTACAATATAAATATTTGTCACTTACATTTTTTTTTGTTGTGAGCCTAGCCTTTAACAGCTGAGCCATCTCTCCAGCCCAAGATTTATCTCTTGAATTGGCTTAATAAAACACTGATTGGTCAGTAGCCAGGCAGGAAGTATAGGCAGGGAGACCAAACTAAGGATGATGGGAAGGAGAAGTGCAGGGTCAGGAGTTGCAAGACAGATACAGAGGGAGCAGGAGATCAATGTGCCATGCTAAAAAAAAAAGGTACCATCATGTGGCAGAGCATAAATAAAGAATATGGGTTACATAAAATATAAGAGCTAGTTAGTAATAAGCCTGAGCTATTGGCTGAGTATTTATAATTTATATTAAGCCTCTGTGAAGTAATTTGGGAAGCAGCTGCCAGGTATTTGGGAATAGGAGGTTGGGACAAGAAGCTTCTGCTTACAAGAACTCAAACATGGCAGAAACCTGGAAGCAGGAGCTGATGTAGGGGTCATGGAGGAGTGCTGCTTACTGGCTTGCTTCTCATTACTTTCTCAGCCTGCTTTATTATAGATCCCAGGACCACCAGCCCAGGGATGGCCCCACAGACAATGGGCTGGGCCCTTCCTGATCAATCATTAATTAAGAAAATATCTTATAGATGGATCTTACAGAGGCATTTTCTCGACTGAGTTTCCTTCCTTTCAGTACTCTAGCTTGTGTCAAGTTGACGTAAAACTGGCCAGCACACTATCCATAGGAGCATTTTTGTGCTTTCCCCCTTTCTTCTTGCCTCTGCCCTTGGCCCTTGATATCTGTTCTCTGAATGAGCCTGACTTAATTCGGTTTGTCATTGGAGTCTTTTCAGTAAAATGCCAGGTCCTCGCTTGCTGTTGTCTAAAAGGTCATTACCTCAAAGACTTCTCAGGACTCTTCCTCCTGCCTCCCCAGTCCAGTCAATGGGCCTCTTTGTCATCCTGTCTCCATGACAGACACACCTCCTAACATTCAGGTGACTAGCTCACCTGCTAGCATCACACCCTTTCTAAAAGTTATCTGTCCTGGTGAGTTTTTTTGTCAACTTGACAGAAGCTAGATTAATCTAGGAAGAGGAGACCTTGGTTGAAAAAAATACATCCATCAGATTGTCACATAGGCAAGACTGTACAGCATTTTCTTGATTAATGATTGATTTGGGAGGGTCCAACTCACTGTATGTGGTGCTACCGCAAGTTGTATATATTATTTACAACACATTACATATACAAACAAATGCTATGTATAAATAAATATACACCCCATAAACACACACACACACACACACACACACACTTTCACAATTTCCTGAGCAAGCCATGGGACTGAGCCAGTGAGCAGCGGTTTTCTATGGCCTCTGCTTCAGTTCCTGCCTCGAGTTCTTTCTGTGCGCTAAGCTGTAAGAGAAAATGAACCCTCTTCTTCCCCAGTTTCTTTTGGTCATGGCATTTATTACAGCCATATAAAGCAAATTAGTCCATCATGTTTTTGTTTTTCAGCCAAAGAATTTTCTTAAATATTTACTTTGTTCTTGTTATTTATGCATGTGTGGTGTGTCTGTGTGCAGGTTACCATGAAGCCCAGGAGAGAGGGTCAGATCCCTGGAGCTAGAGTTTTGGGTGGTTGTGAGTAGCCTGATATGGATGTTGGGAACTGAACTCAGGTCCTCTGGAAGAGAGCAGTAATGCTCTTAACTACTGAGCAATCTCTCCAGTCCCTTAGGACATCATCTTCATGAGTCCTTTTTGGTCACCTGATCTAACATCACAGCCTCCATCTTCTCTGCCATGTTTCTTCTCTCTGGCCATATATATCTTACCATGCATGCTTTCTTATTGTTTTCTTTTTTAATTTTTTATATACATGCTCTTGAGGGAAGGGATTTTTATGTTTCTGATTCTTGTAAAATAACCCGTAAGACAGGGTATTACTTCCCCAAAGTCTCATGTGTATATGTATTTACACACACACACCCTACATCCTTACATACTTTTTGACAGTTTATACACACATACACCATGTTGTGAGCATCCTCAAACCTTGCACTTCCATGCCTTCTGCACATGTTGACTGCCTTCTTCTTCCCTACAAGTCCATTTCTTTTGCATCTTTTTAGTCATGGGGCAGGGCTTGGTTTTGGCCTTCCCAGTTTAATTATGGTTTCTTGTATGAGCATGGATAGGGCGGGACCAATGCCTACATTGCTGAAGAAAATGACACCAGCTGGGGCTGATGCCAGGCAGTCCTTAGCCTTGGTTAAATGGCCCA